CGTACTTACGATTTCTATTTTGGTGGCTCGTTCACCCAGAGCATCCGGAGCTCTGCATCGTGGAGCCTAGCAACCTCCACGAGACCGTCTGTGTTGTCTGTCTGTAACTGCAACTCAATCAAGCTTTCCAGCCTACACCACTGCCATCTCGGTGTAAGTAAACAATCTTTAAAACTACCGATACGCATCTGTGCCTAATTCCAGCTCGAAGGCCTTCCCTCTCCGACCCAGCGTGCCCGGGCTGCTGGCCACAGCCCGCATGCAGCGCGAAAAAGGCTCGGGTCGCTCCCGGCCCACACAATATGTAACTAATTCTGCCCGTCCATGGACACACATTTTGATACAGTTTGCCATGGCATAGTTGCATATTCTCTCAAATCACACCAAACATTTTCCCTATGACTTTTGATGCATCTTGTACTTTTTTTTTTTAAGTTCCATTTTCCTTACTCTAAGGGTGGTGACAGAAGTTAACAGCTAAAAACTTTCAAGTGTCTTTGAAAGATTTCAAAGAGCCAGCTGTACCCACACACTTGCCCTTTGGAGCATTTTACTTTGCTACTTGTGCATGGACACAGGAGCTGGGGCTGGGCTGCACCCCTGCCCTTCCCCCTCTCCCCCTGCCCACCAGACCCCTGCTGCTATCAGGCCTTACAGCCCCAGTTCTCCCTGTCCCCGTCTCTGAAGGGGAGAGGAGAGGTTTGGGGGATATTCAGGAGGAGGGAACCTGTTTCAAAAGTTACTTCTGCTTGTACCCTAAATTCATTGCCATAATGCCCAATACATCTGTATTGACTTACTTTGTAAGTAAGGCAGCTTGTGTGGTATATATTTAGTAGAAAGATTTATATGACATGGCTTTTGATCTCAGAGCTCTGAGATGTATCCATGAGAAAAAGAACTTTATCTATGAAAGTAATTTAACTGCAAACTTAGGCAGCTTATTTCTGCTCAGACTTCTTCAGCTGTTACTCAGGGTTGCGTATATGCAGTACCTAGCACCAAGGGGCACCAATCACAATTGAAGTCTCTGGTTGCTATAGCAATACAATATTAAACAGTATTAGCAATAAAGAAGTAGTGAAGACAAAGGTCAAAGGCTGCCATAATTTTAGCTTACTACAATCCAGCCTAGCAGGACAGCAAGCCAGTCATGTGTGAAAACAATGCTGAAGCCAGATTAAAAAAACAAAACAAAACAAAACAAAAAACAACACATTAACTTACCTCCCCCCTCCACTGCTGAGTGCTGGTGTTGGCCTTGTAAGCAGATCGGAGATTTGTGAGGATAACTTTGTCTTTGCAGCTGTCTGTTGCTGGACTCTGACTTCTGCTGCATCTGCTAAGTGCATCAATGTCTTTCGCTCTGGACTTTCTTCAAAGTTTTTACAGCCAATACATTTACATATTGAGGAACACATGATCTTTGCCTGGAAGGAAAGGGTAGTTCACCTAACATATTACTTTATATCCCATTGCTGGCTCAAACTTAGTATGCGCTAAGAGAGAGAGACATCAAAATGAAAGGTGTTTACAATGCACATTTTACAGTGTAAATGTCAACTATTCTGCAACTATGAAACATAACTGTGTAAACCACATTAACTAAGTACAATTACATCCTCATTTAGGGCAAAAATCAAATGAGAATGAGGCCCAAATTTTCTGTTCTTTTGTTTTTTAAATGTGAGTCATTGAAACAAACTCCTGCATGAAGCAGTAGATTTTCCCCTCTCAAAACCTTCAAATTAAGAGTGTTTCAGATTCGAGACACTCCTCCATAACTTATCTGAATTTAGCGGCACCCTAGCTAAGAACCACTGTTGTACTGACTCAGTTTACCTCGATAGTCATCAACCAGGGTGCTGCCACTACCACTGTCAGGTGAAATATCAGGAAGTGGCTGTGGCAGAAGCAGGTCTTCCTGCTTGCATTAGGTTTATCTGATAAGCTGAGACAACACAACAGAGGCACACAGGGCAGTTTCACCTTGCAGTGGCAGTACCAAGTTGAGAGCCACTGAAGTAAGCTGAGGCAGCAACAGTTGTGGTTCTCAATCAGGGTGCCACTAAACCAAACAGGGATAGCCAGCACGGGTTTGTTGTGGGTAGGTCTTGCTTGACCAATCTCATTTCCTTTTACGACCAGGTGACCTGTCACCTGGCCAAGGGAGAAGAGAGTGATGTCATATATCTTGACTTCAAAAAAGCCTTCGATCTGGTATCCCATGATCACCTCTTGGCAAAACTGGCCAGTTGTGGCCTTGGGTCCACCATGATCTGCTGGCTGGGAAATTGGCTCCGTGGTCAGACCCAGAGGGTAGTATTTGATGGAAATCAATCATCATGGTGCCCTGTGACCAGTGGGGTCCAAGGCTCTGTCCTTGGACCCATATTGTTCAACATTTCATTAATGATGTGGACATTGGAGTCAAAAGCAGACTGGCCAAGTTTGCCGATGACACCAAACTTTGGGGCAAAGCATCCACACCAGAAGACAGGGGGGCAATCCAGGCTGACCTGGATGGGCTCAGCAAATGGGCGGATGAGAACCTGATGGTGTTTAAAAACACAAGGTTCTCCACCTTGGGAGGAAAAACCTGCAGTAATCTTTATAGGCTTGGCAGCGCTATGCTGGCTAGCACTATGGAAGAAAGAGACTTGGGGGTCATCATTGACCACAAGATGAACATGATGAGCCTGCAATGCGATGCTGTGGCTAGTAAAGCGTCCAAAATGCTGGCTTGCATCCATATGCTTCAAGCAAATCCCAGGACGTCATTCTCCCATTGTACTCGGCCTTGGTGAGGCCGCAGCTGGAGTACTGCATCCAGTTTTGGGCTCCACAATTCAAAAAGGATGTGGAGAAGCTTAAGAGACTTCAGAGAAGAGCCACGCGCATGATCAGAGGTCAGGAAAACAGACCTTACGACGACAGGCTGAGAGCCATGGGGCTCTTTAGCCTGGAAAAGCGCAGGCTCAGGGGTGATCT